AAATAATTTTAGAATACCTAAGTTATATATTACTAGATACTTGCAATTGTGATTTTTTAGACTATCTTTGAGAGCTTGGGAGTAACTTTGTGTGATCACTTGTAAGCTAAGGAGTAGGAGGTAACTCTGAAATTTCTTCCATATATAATTGTTTGTGGATGTTATTGTCATTACATGTCTTGCAAATTAATTACTTTAGTATGAAATGTGTGTGTGTCTATATGTGTGTTTATATAGGATAAATATTAAGTTTCTTAATTAATTGTTTTTAGCGTAATAATTAGATATTTGGATAGTTTAATGAATTCAAAGGGGAAAAAAATTGTACTATTGATGAATTGTGTTGGATTTTGATTCTTTTTCTATTATGGAATAACAGTATCTTGGTTGAAATATTCTGTTATACCATTACTTGTCATGACTATGCATTCTGTGATGGGCTAAGGTCAGATGGAGATTGATATATTGATTAACTACCACGTGGTATGCTATTATTCAGTGCACAATGTATGGCACTTGTTAAAGCCCCTTCTTCTATGTTTTCCTTTGGCTGGGATTGGACTAGAGTTGTGGGACATGTGACAACCTCCTTATCTTTATTCTTTTAAGGAGGAAAATCATAGTCTAGACTTGAGTTTTATACTTTTGGCCGAGTATATCTCAAGTACTGGTGAGCTTTGGACAATCCAATTAAATAGATTAGTTTTGATTAAACTATGTGTTAACTTATAACTCCAGTCAGCAGAATAAGGATGGATGATGATATAAGATAGGCTGCATGATGCATTTTATTGTTGTGAAATACATATTATAAATAAACATGGATTGATTATGTTATAGATTTAATGATGAAAATATTTGTGCAATCTAAATATTACCAATGATGCCTAGATGTACAGTAACATTTGGCACTAGAAAGTATCCCTTTATGTCCCTAAGGTATATATAAGAAGTGTGACCATAGCACCAAGCCAGTGAGAAATATAAGAGATGGAATTCCTATAGATGAATGTCACTACCAAAGTAATTGAATAAGTCAAGTAGAGAGGCTTCCCCTAATAGGGATGTGACATATGAAGAATGTACCATGACAGAGATCAAGTAAGAGGAAAGCCTTGACCATAGTATTCCTCTAAAAATTGGGAAGTGGTATTCCAAATCAAGAGTTGACGCTACTCTACCAAGAGCGAGTTGTCCTCTGAAGGAAAGAATGAGAAACAGCTATAATGGAATTAACAATGCTATCAATAAAACAATGCATCCTCCTAGAATGATAGAGTTGACATCGTGCCAGTAAAAGTAATATGTCCTCCATTAAGGGTAGGAAAAGTAGTTGAGTAGATGTTGCTATGAAACAAGCAATACATCCTCCAACAAGAAAGAGTAACAGCAGCTGAGACAAGACACACAGAGTCGACCTTATCCTAATGAGAGCAAATCTAGCCAAAAGTGACCTAGCAATAAGATATCCCTTGAGTCTAATAGAGTACTAAAGAAAGTTAGAAGGTACATTCATAAGTCCTCTCCCTATATCATTTGGAATCAATAAGAGACAGTGAGGATAGTAAAATGAAAAGAGAATTCCTTAAGGCGAGACAAATTGACATGAATGTGATAACAAGTTAGTTAGCCATAAAGATAAGCTAGTGTCTAGAGATTAAAGAGGCGCAATGAAAGGAAAGTGGGCTGAGAAAGCTAGAAACTAAGAGTTAAGAAAATGCATAAAGATAATGATTCCAAATTGACAGAAAGGATTGAGTCGGCAATACTAGCATCTATGATCAGTCTTGGGAAATGACCAGTCAAGTTACCAGTTGAGTGGAGGTGACTTATTTTATAACTCAATTCTGTGGTCTAAAGGCTCTCAAAGAGTGGAACACGACTTGGATGGTTTACAGTATTCAAGGGTCGTAGTGGATCCTAAAGAGGTTGACAGTAGAGTGCAGTAGCTCTTGAGATTATAGTGGAGCCAACCTAAGGAAAATAGCTCTTGAGATCATAGTAGAGCTAGCCTAAAGAAAGTTATTGAGAGGCTTGATAGAGGGTGCAGTAGCACCCAGGGTCACAGTAGACTAAGTCTAAGTAAATTTCCGAGCTATAAAGGTAAAAGTATAGTACTTTTTAGGGAAGACAATGACTAGAGATGAGTCTAAGATATGATAACCTCCTCCAGTGATCAACTAGTACAAAGAAAGTACCCTTGAGTAGTCGCTAGATACCTTTGTTGTTGATTGGACCGAGTTCGATTGCATTCTAGTCAACAAAGAAAAGTAAGACAGGCAAGCTAAGCATGAAATGAGAATATGAAGGAAAGGAGATAGGCCTTTAAAGTAAAGATGAAAATGATAGTGTAAGCAAAAAAGACCTAATGAAGGCAGAGTAAGAGAAACTCAAAACATAATGGTAATAAAATACCATGAAATAAGTACACTGTCAAGGCACTATCCTAAGTAAGTGTACCCAAATAGTTGAAAGAATGTGACAAGCAAAGACGAAATGCTTAAAAGCAAATGGTCCTACTCATGAAAATACTAGAAAGACATGTTACAATATGATATGAAAGTTTAGACTAAAGGATCGAAACATGGTCGTTTAGTATAATGTATAATTGAAAGGCTAAGGTTGAGAATAGAGGTTTAACCTTGAAATTTCGAGAACGAAAGTTTTTTTCAAAGAGAAAGAATTGTAATATCTCAAATTTTAAGCCTAGAAATATTAGAATTAGCCTGAAATAGGCAAACTATTAGACCTTTTTGACAAGAGTTTCAGAAGTTCCCTAGAAGCGTAAAAGGATTTTTAGGGACCAAACTGCAAAGTAAAAGTTTTTCAGAACAATGAGATAGGCAAGTTAAAAACTCTGATGGAGTCTCGAGGGCTCGAGTATGGGAATTGGAGATGATTAAGCGCTAAAAGTCATGCTAGAACCTTTAAAGAGATGATTCTTTATGCTAAACTTTGGTAGGAACGTAATTGTAATTTTGAAAGGTTTTGGATTGGAAAGGGTACCGATGGAAAGTATGCCTCAGAATTTTAGAAAAATTCTAAAAATATTCCCCAAAAATGACAAATGAGGTTTTGAGGCATATGAGGTTGAAAATGACAAAAACATCCCTAGAACAAATTAATGAAATTCCTTAGGTTTTGACTAATTATGAATATTAGCCAAAATTGAATTATTTAAAATACAAGAAGGCCTCAGCTAATTAAAAAAAAATGAAAAATCAATACTTGAGAAATTATTGCAAGTTTAAAAATGATTTCATTCCCATAAAGTGAAGAGGTTGGATCTGAGAGAATTTAAAGCCTATTTATACAATCTGACTAAAAATGGAAAATAAAAATTTGATGAAAATCTTCACAGGTAGAGATCTGAAAAGAAGGCAACTCCTATGTTTGAGACTCTAATTCCAAGCAATAAAAAGCATATTTGCCCGTAGCAATAGGAACGGGCTGGCCCTTCACAAGCCATGGGCTTAAACGGGCCAAACTCGGTTAGGCCCATGTTTAGAAAACTAACTATTTTTCAAAGCTTGGCCCTTATACAGACGGTATAAGTCTGTTTAAACTTTTTTTTAACATTTTTTTAACATATTTTGATATGGATAAAAGTAAAGTAATAGATCTTCTAAAATTTACACTATAAGTCATTAATATTAGTAGAAAAATGCTAAATTGTTATGCAATTTTCTAAAATGAATCCAAATCAAGCATATCCTAAAATTATGAAAAACACAAACTAATTAAACACCAAACAATAGCAACATCATCAACATTATTTTCATCACTACCTTCAATATCAACAATATTGAATTGTATTGGCTTTTTTTTTTTATGACAAAAATTTGAAAGTTTTATTCTTCAAATAAATTTCACTTTCAAGTTTTGTAGTTTATTATTATTTTACTTTAACTTGAGATATATTACTATGAAAACTCATAAATTTCTAATTCAAGTTATAGAATCATAAGTTATATAAGTATAAGAATACTCTATTATCAAATATATATATATATGGTTAAAAATACTAACACATATAATATAAATCAAATCATTATCTAATCTCTAAATTAGCTTATTTTTGAAGTTCAAATCATTGTTCAAAACCAAATAAATCAGACCATATTATAAAATTCAATTTTAAAAAGATAATAACAACTAATATTTAAAATATCATTAATAATGTAAAAAAAAAATTCAATCATATTAGCACCCTATAAATAATCTTAAAAAAATAAAAAATAAATAAAAGAGCTCAACAGGAGATAGACAAATATAACTAAAGTAGACTAAAAATGACATATTTGACCATTAGTTTTTTCCTTATTTAATGAATTTTGTTTTGAAAGAAAAGGAAAAATGAAAATATATAATTAGTTTTTTAACATAGTCAAATATTCAGAGGCACCATTTAAAGTCTTTTATCTTTATTTGATGATTTTTATGGTTATTTTGTATTAGTTATTTTTACTAGTTTTTTTTATTTTTAATTGCAAATAAAAACCATAGTCTTTCCATGAAATTTCAATAATTAAAGGTCTTCAATTATCATTAATGTTTCACATTAATGTTTCACAATCACAAGATCTGCAATTGTCGTTTTCCCAAATAGAAATAATTCTGAAATTAATTAAAATAAAAATTATATATTCTTCAAAACAATTTCAATGTAAATTTTAATTATTTAAAAGATTCTTAATGGAATTAAGAATTTGAATTTAAGTATATGTTCTCAAAATAGAATGAAAGTGCACCAAATTAGGATAAAATGCAGGGAGAACTACTCAATAATTTAACAACAAATTTAAAAATTTATCAAGTATTTTAACAATAACACCCCATCCCATGTCTTTTCCTCTTCATTCCAGCACACAATCAGATGCGGAAAGCTTGTTATGTATTTGTTCCCCCTGTTACAAAACAATACCTAGCCCTCCTTGGATGTGGCCAACAAGGGAGAAAGCAACTTTCGCGCCCAATGAAATTAATGGATGTCTAGGCTGTGATCATTAAGATGTAGGCCAGGCCGCCAGGGATTTAATCACCAAAACTCACAATTCCAATACACTTGACACATCAAATGTCATACACAGATACAAAAGATATATGGTTCTGATGTTCATAATTTTGGACTTATCGTTTCCAAAAAGGCAATATGCAACAAAATATCAGAAACTGAACACTGAGAAGGGTCTACGTGATTAGCAATTGCACATGACCGCATTTTTATTAGTAGGGAGCAGCACTCAAAATTTAAGAGAGACCAATAACTTTTCCTGTTGACGTATCCAGATCGATGTCATAGAAGCAAGGTCTCGTTGGAAGCCCTGGCATTGTACTCATCGTTCCAACCAAGGGATATATGAATCCAGCTCCAATACTGGCTCTCACATCCCTTATGGGCAAGATAAATCCACTTGGTGCTCCCTTCGCCACAGCATTATGTGAGAAAGAATACTGGGTCTTGGCCATGCAGATTGGGAGATTCGAAAACCCTTGGTTGGTATACATTTGAATCTGCTTGTCAGCCTGGTCAGACAACCAAAATATCCATCAGAATTAAGAGTTCACTTTTCCCTTTGTTTTTCTTTTAGATTAAATTATTCTGTACGTCCTAGAATATCAGGCAAAACTTTCAATTAGGCTTTTATACCTTTAAATTTGTAAGTGGATTCCTATAGATTTGATCATTTTTATCTTAATCCCTATTGTCCGAATTCCCTGGACACACTTAAATTTTGCTGATGTTGTGGCCAACTATATAACAAACAAACAAACAACAAGCTTTATCCCACTAGGTGGGGTCGGCTACATGAATCACACGACGCCATCGTACTCTGTCAACAACCCAATCCTTAGATATGTTGTTGATTAGGAAGTCTCGTTCTGGCCAACTATATAACATCTTCACAATTTCAAAATGCATAGTCCATGCCAACAAACCAATGTTTTCGGAAATATGGTTCGATCGCATGCTGCACATGTGAATATATTTCACTCCACCATCTACTTTAGATCCCTATGTTGGCATGAATCATAGATATTTAAGGTACTCCCTCCTGCCCTTTTTAATAAGACCTTATCCATTGGTTTTGAATACAAGACCATTTACAAAATTTATTGAAACGTTTATGACTCATTTTCGACAATACCCTTTTTTTCCCTTCATTTCTAGCTTAATTATTGATGTTTTCATCCTCCCTCAATGAGCTAACTTTCGACATGTAACTAACTTCAACTCATTACGTCAAATTTAGTGGTAGTTAACAAGGTCATATAAAATGGACCGGAGGGAATATAAAGATAGTACATAATTGGTCGGGCTGGTGAGATCTAACGGCAGATTAACTTAAGTTTAATACTTATAAATCCTTAACACTTAAAAAAGTTAAAAACCTAATTGCAATTTTTAAAAATAATTTACAAAATTTTAAAATATAAAACCAAACAGTCGAAAGCTTGAAAGGAACAAAGGCTTTCTGATATATGTATTTAGCTAGTAAAGGGTCTTAAAGTAATTTGCTACTGAAAAGAGGTACGTTCTGCTTCTAGAATTAGTTATAGAGAGGGAATATCAGGTATGACGTGGCTGTGGAAATATATGCTCTGTAACCTGCCTTGATTTCATTTTTGTTGAATGAATATTCCCCTCTCTGCTGCTAGCAGTTTCCATTAGGGTTGAATACAATGGACAGTCGAAAACTCGAAAGGAACAAAGGCTTTCCATTTGAGATGAATACAAAAATGTAGGCACACAGATGATAGCACAAAATTTCGTCATCAGGGTTAGAGTCCAAACTAGGAGTTGATATGGTGTGCATGCTACTACGGAAAACAGACCACCCTCCATATATTAGATCAGATAGAGCATAGTGAGGGATTTTACAGAATATTAAATACCAGGTTTAGATGTTTTCAATGGTTCACTTTAAAGTTAGTGAATTGACAACGGTAGGCCAGCTACTCCGAAGGCATGAAAATACTAAGCTTTTCATGATGTGCATTGAGTTAAAAAGATATTTCTTAATGTGAGAATATGTTCATCTTTTGAGACATTTTGTATCTCTCTTATCTCACGTTACATTTGCTCATAATTTAATTCATAATTCTTTTGCCTTGCATCATAAATCTCTCAATAAATTATTCTTTCGCAAAAAGAAAAAGAAACTGCCCTAATCTGGTTTGGTTAGTAGCAAGGAGAATTGCAGTAAGGTTCCAAGGAAGGAGCATATTTACAAAAAGGTCCCATAAAAATTGAGTAGTTTGTAATGACAAGTTCCAGAGTAAAAAAATGACAAGAAGTTTCAGCTACTCACTTGTCGTTGGAACTTTTTAGTAATTATCTTCCTTCTTTGGGACCTCACAACAATTCTCCCTAAAACATTAGGCACCTGATTTGTCAAATAAATATATATGAGCTAGCTGTAAAACTAAGGTAAGAGGGATCTACCTGCTCTGAGTACTCAACACCACTAGCACCATATGATTTTGCTATTGCCTCTATTTTCTCTTTGATACTTGAATCTAAAGAATATAGGAACTTCAATGAGCTTGCCGCATTTTCACAGGCTTGCTGAACTGCAAGACCCAGGTCAACCTGAATCATGTCATAATAACTTCAATAAGCAATACAATCCATAACTGGCAGAATGATACCATATTATGTTGCGTGCATTTAGTAAAGAAAACTATGTGCCACTACTTCTGGCAATAAAATGGTTGTCCAATAAAAATGTCAACTCTTAAATATGCCACATCTTTTCTTTCTTTTTTCCTGACTCAGATATTGTGGTCAGTAAGTGACAAGTTCAGTAGTTATCAGGCTGCAGAAGCAACTTAAGAAGTAAGGAAACCACTAGATAACAATCAATGAAGCTTATCACTTAAATTTGGTTGTTATTCCACTAAATTATTAACAGTAAGCAATCAATTGGTTGTCATATTCATTTAGCATTTATATTGACTGTTAAATTTAAGAATATTACGTATCAGGGTAAATGACGGGTGTAGCTTTATTCTTTAGCTCAAATATAATGCCTTCAAAGCAAAATTTTACCGCTCCATTACCACCATGGGCATGATGAGTACAAATTACAGCATCGTAAGCCCCAGCAGCCAAAGAAGCATTTCTAACTGCGTTTAATTCAGCTTCAGTGTCAGTTGAAAACTTGTTGATAGCAACAACGACATTAACACCATATGCTTTTGTATTTGATATATGCCTCGCCAGATTCACGCAGCCAGCCTCAACCAGAGAAACATTTTCAGCCAAATATGCATGGTCAAGAGGCTTTCCAGCAACAACTTCAGGCCCTCCACCATGCATTTTTAGAGCCCTTATTGTTGCCACAATGATAGCACATTGAGGTGTCAAACCACTGTATCGACACTTAATGTTCATAAACTTTTCAGTTCCAATATCTGAACCAAAACCTGCTTCTGTAACTACAAATCCTCCTGGACCCACCAGCTTTAGTGCAATCTTATCAGCCACGATAGAAGAATTCCCATGAGCAATATTTGCAAATGGTCCTGCATGAACCAGAACAGGGGTCCCTTCCAAAGTCTGCATAAGAGTAGGGTTAATGGCATCTTTCATTAACACTGTTAAAGCACCTCCAACGCCCAGATCATCAGCAGTTATTGGGTCACCATTCTTGCTATTTCCAATCACCATTTTTCCAAGCCTCTCTCGCATGTCAGCCAAGGATGTTGTGAGGGCCAAAACAGCCATTATCTCACTGGCAACTGATATATCAAATCCTGTTTCTCTTACCATTCCTTTCTCGTCAGGTCCCTGGCCAATGCTAATTTTTCTTAAAAACCGGTCATTAACGTCCATTACTCTCCTCCATGTAATAGAATTTGGGTCAATATCAAGCCTAGCAAATTTAGTTACTTCTTTTGGTGTGAGATCCTCTGGCTGGGTCTTGGAAATACCAAGTTTTTTAAGACGCCTGAACATGATATCACTAAACTTCCTTTTCCCTTCTTTATTTGGAGGACATAATCTGTTGAAAAGAGCCTTGTCCGACTGTGTTGCCTCATGGAAAATCCGGGTATCAATTGCAGCAGCTAGTAGATTGTTTGCTGCTGTTATTGCATGTATATCTCCTGTTAGATGAAGATTGAACTCATCCATAGGAATTACTTGGCTATAACCACCACCAGCTGCTCCTCCTTTGATCCCAAAAGTAGGTCCTTGTGATGGTTGACGAAGGCAAGTGATGACCTAACTCAAAAAACAGAGATGAATTCAACATGTGCCCAGCATAATATTGACATATGATAGAGAATTATTAACAGATTACTAATGACCAAAATAATACATGCCATGAAATGTGTGACTTGCTACGACAGAGTAAGAATATCAAGCTGATAAATAATGAAAGAAAAACAACTCCTACATCCAGTCACTTGTTACATTAAGAAAGATAAAGAAAATGCAGGAAAATTCTTCCAGAAGAGATTGAAAAATATTAGTGTCCTTTGGATAATGTACAAGGAATATTATGACAAAAATTATTCTCAAAACACATATTCACTCAAGTCACAGCCAATAAAGCCATGATAAAATCTTCAGTTCATCCAAGGTCTGTCAGGGATGCAAGTGTGTTAAGCCGTGCACATACAATTCTTCCTCCAGAAATATTTAGAATAGTAATCAACTATCATTTAAAAATTTAGAAGAATTCCTGTAAAGAGAAACAAAAGGAGGAAGGGGCATGTACTCGGTACAGATTTTAGGGTATCCAAAAAATGCCAGTATTAAATATTTACACAAGTAAACATTAATAATTATAAAGGCAACATTCCTGCAAGCCACAGGTGGCAGACATCATTATTCGGAATCAGTCTTTGCTGCAAAATTTAATCATTTCTCTAAATCTAGGGGGTACAGGGCAAATAATGTAAAAAAGGAAAAAAAGCTATATACCATAAACAATGAAGAGACTTTTAAAAAAAAAAATCAGGAACATAAAAATCATTTTCTATTCACAAAATCACTTATTTTTTTCATTTCTCCATCATTCGCACTGAATTATATGCAGATGAGTCCTTAAAATTCATCATAAAGTAAAGAAGTGTCATAATGCCAAAAATGTGGAAGCAGAAACATACAGAAGATTACCTTCTTGTCAAGAAAAGCACCCAAAGCTTGACAGAGGCCAACTGTAGTAGTAGACTTGCCTTCTCCAAGAGGAGTTGGAGTAATACCTCCAACCACAACATAGTATCCATCTTGCGATGTTTGTAGTTCATCAAGAACGGACAACAAAACCTAAGCCCCAAATTAATGTTGAGCTAAGTCAAAAAGTTGCAAAAAAGCATACCATATCGGTATCTATCCAATATACCAAATCTACTGCTATCATAAGATAAAACAAATAAATCCTCGTTAGTAGTCATGTTCAGAGAAATCAAAAAACCAACCTAAAATCCCCAAATTCTCCATCATCAACAATTAATGAAGTAAATATATTTACCTTCGCCTTATGCTTGCCGTACAGGTCATAGTGATTGGGACTAAGATTAAGATCCTTGGCAATCTCAGCAATATGAACAGGTTCAACCGAGTTAGCGATGTCAATATCCGCGGGAACAGGGGACACCACCTGCAGCTTCCTCAGCGTCTTAGAAGGCGAACTCATTGCTACTGGACTCACGTAAACCGAAAGGATTGGGCAACAGAAAGAAGCTTAGAATCAAAATCTGAATGCGAATGAGAAAGAAGACACAAGTCCGACGATGAAGGGAGAAGAAGAAGAGAGGGAGAGCAAGGTCTGGATTTGAAGATATGGGTTGAAGAATCAATTTCATCCATCACTATATATACAACGATGATCCCAAGCTTTATTTTATGGATTAGTACTTGTGCGTCTGTATGTGTTGGGAGTCATCCTTTTGAAAAGAGCGGCGGGCGTAAAGCAATATGCGGAGGCCACAAGAATTGATTGGGCTGAGATTACCATCAAATTTCCTTTTTTTTTTTTTTTGGGCCAACTATTATTACCATCAAATTGGAAAATAGTCAAAAAATAGTAAACAACAAATGGACGCTGTGCACACACTGTTCTTTCGGCCAAGTAAATTTAGGGAAGGTAATTAGTAATAACCGATAATTAATTTCTCCCATTTTATTTTAACAAAATACGTTAATATCTTATTCAAATTCAAATATGTTTATATTTAGCGTTGGCAAAAAATTATATATTTATATTTATTTTTTACTAAAGTATAGATATCTTCCTATTGGAGATAATTCTATTCGAGACACTATCAGGTACTAAATGTGAGCACCTCTCTCAGCAGGGATTGAAACCTTGGTTGGCCATATTGTGAAGGACAAACTTTTTCTCCTAAACCCAACCCCCTTAGTAAATATATTTATACTTAGGTTTGAAGAGAATAGACTTTTTAATCTCTGGGACCTAACCTTAAACACCAACAAGGGTTAATGTACGCCCAGCACCTCAAACTATTTTTTTCCAGGTGTGTCCAGTGTCCTAAACTAATTTTCAGTGCATCTAATATCCCAAACTAATTAAAACAGTGTATCCATATCCCAGCTAATAGAAAAGTTAAGTTTGACCATTACCTTGTTGACTCAGCCGAAGGTTGATCTAAAAATCCTACATGACAGACACGTAGGCGTTTGATGTGTATTATTTTGACGGGTTAAGGTGCGTCTAGCACCCTGAACTATTTTTTCAGGTGCGTTCAGTGTCTTAAAGGATTTTTTGGTATATCTAATGTCCCAAACTAATTAAAACTGTGTGTCCACATCCCAAGTTAACAAAAAAGTCTCGTTTGACTGTTACCTTGTTGACTCAACTAAAGGTTGAACGAAAAATCCTACAAGTGGACACACAGGTGTTTGATGTGTATTATTTTGACTGAAAATTCAATTTATTTTCTCATCTTCTAACATTTATCTTCTGCCTTTTAAACTTAAAAAAAAAAATGAAAGATGACCGATCCACCCTCTTAAATACGGGTACATGTACCACCCATTCAATCCCATCTTCGTCTTTAACATTTTATCCCATTTTTTCCATCACTCCGATTTGAAACCACAACCGCCGTCATAGCACACTTTCTGCCTTCATCTCTGTCAACTCCTCATCCGACTCGCATTTGCTTTCCTCCTCGTAGAACACAGTAAACTTCTCCTTGGTCACTCTGTCGACATCGTCGTCACCTCCCGAGAAAACAACCGCTGCCACTGGGCTCGTCTCAAAAGCTTTAATCAAAATAATACACATCAGACACCTGCGCGCCTGTCATGTAGGATTTTTCAGTCAACTTTCAGCTGAATCAGCAAGATAACAGTCAAACAAGACTTTTCTGTTAGCCTTGGATATGCATGGACGTACTGTTTTAATTAGGTTGGGACACTAGATGCACCAAAAATTACTTTAGGACACTGAGCGCACTTGGAAAAATAGTTCGGGGTACTAGGCGCATCTTAACTCGTCAAAATAATACACATCAAACGCCTGCATGTCTGCCACATAGGATTTTTCGGTTAACCTTCGACTGAGTCAGCAAGGTAACGGTCAAGCTTATCTTTTCTGTTAGCCTGGGGTATAGATGCACTGTTTTAATTAGTTTGGGACACTAGATGCATTGAAAATTATTTTGGGACACTGGGCGCACCTGGAAAAATAGTTCAGGGTGTTAGGCGCACCTTAACCCAACTATCAATAACCCAATTATATGTTATTTGGTGATTTAAATTTATATCAAATTTTAATTTAATTCTATAGAGTGTAATTTTAATCCCTTAATTTTATTAATATTAGTCTCATTTATTGGAAAATGTTGACTCAATAACTTTAAATGGTAATTTTGAAATTAAATGCTGACAAGACATGCCTAAATTTTAAAATATAAAAATGATTATATTATATTATAGAATTAAAAGTTCGAACATGTTTTGTTAACATTAAATTGCTGACTTACCATTTAAATTTATTGAGTCAGCATCTTTCATTGAATGAGACCAACAATATTAAGATTAGTAAATTAAAAGTAAATTTTATAAACACAAATAACTAAATTAAAATTTGATGAAAAATTGAAGAACTACAGAATATACTTTAGTCAATATCAATTTAACTGTCTATTTCAATCTTCAAAATTTAAAACAGTTATTAATATTAATACTTGTGAAAATGAAAAATATCAAAGCTAAAATTAATTTAAAATTTTATTTATAAATAACTTCCACGAACTTATAAAAATATTATTAAATGTATTTATAATTAGATGTAATTAATTTCGACTTTAAATCATACATATGCATTTTGACTACCTCCTTAGATTGACATTGACATGCACCCTCTGTAGACTGCAATCACTGAGGAATCAACAGCTTGTCAAAGAAGACAATTACTTATGTTCTAAGGAGTTATATATGAGGGAATATATACGACATGCTCTCTCAAAACGCTCTCCTACGTATGTTGAGTTTCTTTATCATGAAACTCTCCTTCTCTCTCAATGGTGTATTTGTTCGGTGTTGAACAATATGTGAGTTTGAGCGATTCATTTCCAACAGTGTGATGAACATAAAGATGAACACCGCAATTCGAGAGCATTTTCTAGGTTAACAATTAGAGGGAAGAATCAGTTGATCTCATTCATTTTCAAGCTCCTTCTCATTGTGCTTGAATTGATTGGTTCACAAAAGGATTGATGATTAGAACATCCGAGACTATTGAACAAGATTTCAAATCACGGCTCATGCATGGAACTGGTTTAAATAATAAAACAAGATGGAAGAAGATCAAACTTGCAAAACGAATATTCTAATAGCTACGAATTGAATTGGGGGCAGGGCGTGCAACAGATGTTCTAGGAGGATATATGTAGGCTGAAACTTTAGTATCATCAAAAGAGTAAGACATAGGATGGAATAAGAAGGAACTAAAATATTATTATTCAAAATAATTATAAAAGATTAAAGAAATCAGAGATTTAAAAGTAATTAAGAAAGAAATAATAAACATTTATTAACATATATTGCAATGGAAGATAACCCAAAATGATCAATATGCGTATTTAAGAGCAAATTGAATATTGATAAATTGTATATAAAGAAGATTTAAATCTTAAAATATTTGAAATTTCTTTTGGGAAAACATCTAAAATATATAAAAGACAAGTTATGGAGCTAAATTTGCATAATGCTATATCAAGGTAGATGGACCAATATGTAATACTCCTCCGGTCCTTAATATATGACCTAATTATTGAGTTAGTTTTTGTCCTAAATATAAAATCTATTTTTTATATTTATTAATTTTCTCTAAATTACCCCTATAGATACTCCCATCAATCGTAATCAAGTAAAAGAGGGAGATGAGGTATTAAGAAAGATTATTATGGTGTTTTAAGAAAAATAGATCTTATAATTAACTAACTTACCTAACTTTCTTAATTTAATCAAATTAGTTAAATGGGTCTTATATTAAAGATTAGAGAAGTATTAAATATTGGTAAAAGACACTATTGACCTTTAAAAATGAGAGTGAATGACAATAATTTTTTAGATATTGTTTAGAACAAATAAGCTATTAACAAAAATTGATTCATCAATAACAACTTTTATTATTGACAGTTCATATTTGGGTAAAATTAAAATTCTAAAACTTAAAAGTGGGTGGTAATAATTCTTCAAGTACTACCTAAAGTGAGTAAAGCTATTAACAAAGGTTGATTCCTTAATAACAACTTTTATTAACAGTTTCTACTTAGGTAAATTAAAATCTTAAAACATGAAAGTGATTGATAACAATTTCAGGTATTACTTAAAATGAATTAGCCATTAACAAAAATTGATTCCTTAGTAAGAACTTTAATTTATTGGTAATACTCACACTTGGGTAAAATTAAAGTCTTAAAACTTAAAAGTGGATCATGACAACAATTCTTCAGGTATTGCCTAAAACAAATAAGCTATTAACAAAAAATAATTTTCTAATAACAACTTTTATTAATAGTTCACACCTGAATAAAATTAAAGTCTTAAAATGTAAAAGTGAATGATAATAATTTTTCAAGTATTGCCTAAAATAAATAAGTTGTTAATAAAAATTAATTCCTCAATAATAACTTTCAGGGATAAGGTGTTTGAATACCTTGAAAATAAACATGAAGAAACACCCAGCACCTAAAAGTTTTTTTTACTCTTACATGCCTTAGAAGTTTTATTTCGTAGCATTTCTATTTTGAACCATTATCAACCGTTAAGTTTGATCATTAAAGGTACCAGTCAAACCGTATAATTTAACAATCAATAGCAGTTAATAGCCTATGTATTTTTTCTATGAAAATAAACTTTCAAAGCATATAAGAGCAAAAAAAAAAATTTCAGGTGTTGAGTGCTCTATCGTGTATATTTTTAGGGTATTTAAGCACCTTATTCCTAACTTTTCTTGATAATTCATACTTGGGTAAAATTGAAGTCCTAAAACTTGAAAGTGATGACAACAATTCTTCATGTATTGCCTAAAATAAATTAATTAATTATTAGCAAAAATTGATTCACCTCAATAACAACTCTGTTTGCACTGTATCTAATTTAGTTTTACTCAATAAGATTTTTATGAATGATAATAACAATGATAATAGTAAAGTGAAAACAAAATAATAATAGCAAACAAAAAAAATTCTGGTTTAACTTTTAGAATATTTCAAATGGTGCTAAAAATTATTTCGGAATCAGTTTCATGGTTTCATATTTAATAGGATTTAAAGTAGTAACAATAATAGGAAAAGTAAGATAATGAGATAGAGAATTGCGTTTAAAATTTATAAATTTTAAAAGCTTGCATCAGTAACTTAAACCTAAT